TTTCAATTATTAACTATTAATACATTTTAACTATTATAAAGTATTTCAATTATTATAATATATAATTTTTATAGTTTAAAATATTAATTTATTAATAATACTATTTCAAGTTAACTCAACTCGTTTAGAACTCTAACTAATATTACTAATATCATCATTACTAATATTGCTAATATTATTATTACTTTTAATGCTATTACTATTACTATTAATACTACTAATACTATTAATGCCAGTAATGTATATTTTTAATGTTTCAGAGATTTGTTATCCTAGCTATATGTCTTAAATGTCCTATTTGTCCTATCTATATCCAATCAGTGTTCCATCAATATCTCATAATAATACTGATTAATGCTACTGCTATTACTACTAACTTTACTACTATTATTAATGCCACTAATATTACTATTACTATATTTAATACTGCCAATACTATTGCTAATATTACTACTTTTAATATTATTAATGCTACTAATACTACTACTACTATTACTTACATTATTATTTTTACTAATACTACTAAAAATTTATAATCAATATAAGTAAAAAAGTTATTTAATTTTAAATATTTTATTTTATTTTATTTTATTATTTTAATAATATCTATTTTAATTATAAGAAATTAAATTTTTTAATAAAAAAGTAAGATTTTAAATATTTATTTAAATGATAAAAAAATATGTGTAATTATTTTTTTTTTACATATAATGATAAAATACTTGAATTTAATTTATTTTATTTACATAATTAATATTTAAAATATAATAATATAGCTATTATTGAAAATAAAATCATTATTAATAATGATATTATTACAATAAGAATTTAGATAATATAAAATTTTATTATTTTAATTAATATAATTTATTTTTAATTTAATTTATTACATAAAAATTATAATAATAATCAATTATAATAATAAAAAAGATTTAAACTTTAATATTTTTTTATTTATATTAATTAAAATTTATTTTAATAATTTTAATATTATAGAAATATTATAAAAAAGAATAAGAGTTAAAAATAATTTTTTTATTTTTTAATTTTATTTTTTATTTTTTAATATAATTATTATTTAATTTTATAAATTTATTTTTATTTTTAATTTTTTAATAAATAATAATATATTTAATATATTTATATATGATTTTTTAATTTGTTTAATAATTATAAAATATATATTTTATGAGTTATTTTAGAAAAGCTTCAAAGTATTACATATTATAAATCTTCAAATTATTACATATCATAATTTTTTAAATTATTACATATTATAAACTTTTAAATTATTATATATAATAATCTTTAAATTATTATGTGTCATAAATTTTCAGATTATTATATGTCATAAACCTTTAAATTATTATATATCATAAATCTTCAATTTATTATGTATTGTAAATCTTTAAATTATTATATATTGTAAATTTTTTGAATTATTATACATTACTTATATATAAATTTAATAAAGTTACTGGCAGTGCCATATCGTTAAAAAAAAAAAAAAAAAAAAAATTATTTTAAATTTTAAAAAATTAAAATAAAATATAAAT